CGTCACCGACCGATTTGATATTAAAGTGACAGAAAACAAAACTTTATTGTAAAGCCGCGGCCGGAAAATCAGGAAGCAACGTTACTACGCTATAATCGATTATGTTCTGTCACTGCATCGATGCAGAATTGTCCACGTCCGCATCGCGATGCATCGTAGAAACGATACATTTCAACACCCCTACTTGTCACAGACAATCTGTTCGACAAAATATGTAAGTCTTTTTCACTTGCCTGCTATGATGGTTCTTCAGGACTGCTTTCTTGAGCTCAAATCACACTTTCACAGACTTTGCTGGTGATTTTAAAGGGGACATATCATGCTATATTTGAACAATATATTGTAGGCCATACCTTTTATAAAGTATATAAATATAGTTTTTTTTTCAAAATACCAAACAGATCCTGTATTTTAGCTATGCCTCATTTCGCTCTATATGCTCTTTCCAGCGCTGTTTTTGCAGGGGGCTGATTCTGTGAGCTGCAGCTGAGAACAACCCCCTGCAGGAGAGGGGAGCATGCTTTGAGATCAGCTGCTCGGCTGTCAGAAGAGGGGGAGAAAAAGAGATCTCCGTCCTCCGTGTTTTATTCTTATAGAAGTAAGAAGAGAAGTAACGGGGCAGAAACCCTCCTTTTTACGCAGCGGTCCAGACATAGACATCAAACGGCGACACATATTCAGTTGCCAGTTACTTTGGCATTAGGGCAGGGATATCTAGATACTTTCCAAGGTTTGACATAATGAATTGTGCTACTTTTAAAGCAAGCAACGATGTTTTCAAATCTGTAATCAAAAAGCTCCTCCAAAAACGCTATCGAACCAGTTCCTGCCGTTGCTACGTTAGTCCAAACAGTAACAACGGACTATTTTTCTTAGCGGATGCATGTAAATTTAAATCAATAAAATAATTTTCTAAATCCATAAAAGCACCTTCATGCCGATCTAGATCCCTCCGCTTCGCGTCGGGCTCCTGATCAGCCTGTCGGTGTTCTTTTCCCCATAATGACCGCGTCGCTGCACATTATCCCTTACATATGATTATATAGAGTCATTATGCATTTGTTTTAAAGCAGGAGGTGCAAACGCTTGCCTCGGGGAGGGAGAAAAAGAGCCACAGCGGAGAATAAACAGAAGGGCAACCATGGCAACCATGCCCGTGAAGTCTTCTTCGCTGCTTTTGTGGCAGACTACAGCGCCACTTACAGGCCTGGCATATGTACTACAGCGTCTCCAGCGCTTTCGAGCGGCAATGGCCGGCCGTGGCCCAACCTCTCATTCCCCTGATAGGTGGAGAATTGACCACTAAGCGGAGCACCACTTCTGTGACGTAGAAAATAAATCAAATCTGGATCAGTCTGTATCAGATCTCTTACAGCCCCTTTTTTTTTTTTTTTGAGATTTGGGTATAGAGGAAAAGAGAGAGGGTTGTATTTTCTGACACTTGGTGAGTTCCCTGACACACCGGGGACACATATTCATGTATAAAAGACATACAAGAGTGCATTTTGCACGATAGGTCCTCTTTAAAGTAGATGACAATGTATGTGTGTCGATTAAGAGGAAAAGATGCCTGATTTTCTTGTTGTTATTGCTATCAGGAAATGTACAACCTAACCCTGTAAGTAATAGTCAGATCGCTACTCCTGCTGATTTTAATTCTTGGGCTGGGTTTCATTCACTTAAATGTGCGCAGTCTTTTACCTAAACTAGATTTTGTCCACATTTGGGCGAGCTCGACTGACGCTGATGTCATTGTCTTATCAGAAACGTGGCTAAATAAATCTATATTGGCCTCTGACATATCCATAAATGGTTAGTGTATATCGTACCGACCAACCTAATAAAGGTGGTGGCGTTGCCATTTATGTGAAAAATAAGTTTTGTGTAACCAAGATGGTTTCCAAATCTATCGGTAAACAACTCAAATTTTTAGCTTTAAATATTGAAGTAGCAAAGGGTTGACAGGTCATGGTGGTGGGCTGTTACAGACCCCCCTCAGCTGTCAAGGACTCCTTGTCTTCGTTGGCAAATCTTCTATCTCAACTTGACTACAAGGAAATAGTGCTACTTGGTGATTTTAATTGGGACTGGTTAAAGGTGGGGTAGGTAATTTTGGAGAAACCAGCTCGAGTGCCCTAGCATTTGAAAATACACAGCCGGAAAAAAATCTGCCACTTCCTCACAGAGCCCCTCCTCCAACACACACGAACGCGCACATGACCAATGAGGGCACGAGATAAGTTTGTGCACAGATGGAAAGCTGACAGGCAGGTAGGCCATCCGGGGCGGCTAAAATGATTGGTCGTGCTTTTTACAGTACTATGGCTTCCACAGATGACATTTTTGCATGGATCTTTTGTCAAAGCACTTAAGATATTCATTGCTATCGGGATGATAAGAGCATTCCATGGAATATAACAAAAAGTGTATCTCGAGCCGGTTTCTCAAACTTACCCACCTTTAACTACAGTATCAGAGGATTTTAAAAACCTTTGTATCACATTGAATGTTACTGTTACGTTCCCTCCTAAACTAGGGGTACAAAGGGAAGTAACAAAACACAAAAACAACCGGGCGAGAGGAAAAGGAGAGGAAACTGCCTGCTGAAGCCACAAAGTGAGGTTTTAATCAATAAAAAAGTAAAGAGGCTCACCAGCCAATTTGCAAAAGCAAACTTAAATAACTTAGAGCAACTTATTTCTAAAAGAAAGTAACTAAATTAAACAATACACAAAAAGGTAAACTGGAGCACATCTCCTAACAATTCACAAGAACACAGGCCTCACACAGAGACAGAGACATGCTGCACACATGCAGCCAGAGGAGAAGGAGAGAGGCCACTGCAGCCTTCCTCAGGTCCTTTAAGGAGGCCCTGATTGGGGATTGGGAGCACCTGGGGGAGAGGCTGCACCTGGAGACAATCGGGGGGGAGAAAGAGAGAGACACACACACACACACACACACAAAAGCACCAACTGCGGCACGTAACACCCCCCCCCCATAAAACACACGTTATACTGCTCACAAGCAGCCAACACCGGAGCAACACATGGAACACACACATCACACGGAATACACACATCACTCACTGAACACAGATCCACATCGCTCTGAGCCAGATCCACACCCACCGCTTCAGAGACGGGAACACCCACAGCACTGTCACAGACGGACGCAGAACTTAACTGCAACTCACCACTCTGTCGCATTGCAACTGGGTGCCGGTCTTTTGGCTTTTCCAGAGACCGCTTGGAAGCTGCCACCTGCTTCTTCCGAGCTACACACTCTGCCACTAGATGACCAGGGCCAAGACAAAAGAAACACAATCTCTTTTTCTTGGGTCCTGGAAGAGAAGCAGAATGAGAATGTGTGGCACGCCTGTTACGAGCTTTCCGGAAAGAAACGCGATGGGGAATGCTCTGAGCCAAAACACCACTGTGCATTAACACCAGCTCATCCGCCATAGTGGCAGCCTGCTGCAAGGAGGGTTTTTTTAATGTAAAAATGATATCCTGTCTAAATATCAGTCATGCTTCAGAAAGCACCATAGCACCATTACTGCGACTATTACGTTCCCTTCTGGGCTAGGGGAACCAAAGGGAAGCAACACAAACCAGAATGGAATTGGTGAAAGTTATAAGTGGTTTTATTATAAATAGCAGCGGTAAACAAAATGGCAGGCATGCAGCCTGGAACAACAAAAAGGCCAAAGGGGCACAGGTTGACAAATAACCAAACAAAAGGAGGACTCTAATTGATTATCGCAAAATCTTTTTTGAAAGCGATATTTAACTGAAAACACTAGGGAAATGTTTACTCAGAATCTTTCTTCCACACTTGCCCCTGCCAACATCTCAGTAAATGAGCTAGTAGATCATTTTAATTCAAAAATAAAATATATTATAGATGCCATTGCTCCAACTAAGGTAATATCTCCATGGAGAAAGGCCATGAGCGTGAAAACAGAAGAAAGAGTGTTGAAAAGCTGAACGCAGGTGGCGAAAAAAACTAATCTCCAGGTTCATTTTGAAATCTAAAAAGCTTTTATAATTTGGAATTGAAAAACGCACGACAGTCTTTCTTCTCTGACATCATTGCCAAAAACAAAAACAACGCACGTGCCTTGTTCGCTACCGTTGACAGACTAACTAACCCCCCAGTGTCAGTAGCCTCGGAATTTCTATCCACCAGGGCGTGCAATGATTTTGCCTTTTTCACTGACAAAATTCAGAAAATCAGACAAGCAGTCAGTGCCTCTGCATCAGGAACAGCAAATGTTCTGTCCCTGTGTCCACCTAAAGCCAATCCAGACACCATGACACAATTCCATCTGATACATGCTCAAGACCTGGAAGACATTATTCAACATCTGAAATCCTCCTCCTGTAGCCTCGATATTATTCCGACAGGATTTTTCAAAACTGTTTTTCATTGCATGGCCTCAGATCTACTACACATAGTAAACAAGTCTCTCCACTCGGGTGTATTTCCACAGGCCCTGAAAACTTCAGTAATTAAACCGCTCCTAAAAAAGCATAACCTAGACGCAACCGTATTGAATAATTATAGACCAATATCAAACCTTCCTTTTTTATGAATATGTTTTTTAGGTTGTTATTGAACAAGTAAGCACTTTTATGTTGAAGGCAGTTTTTCCAGGCCTCTACCGTAATGCATAGGATATTCGCGCACCGCAATACAACGTGGGGGCTGGCTTGACTGTGTTTTCCGAAGTGGAGGTTGGCTTAACCGCAGTGACATTTCCCCACTAAGCTTGTTGTTTTCAACGTGTGAGAAAGACGAGATTAAGGTAGCATTAGTGTACAGTAGTGGGTGGGGGGGCTTTCTCTCTGAGATCTGGTGTTTGTTGACATGCATTTAGATTTAGACGTTTCCTTTTAGAAAATGCATCAGTCTTATTTTATAATATGTAGTGATTACATGAAATTGTATCGTTTTATTCTCTCTTTGAAAATGTTTTTATGGTGATATATTTTCAGGCGCCTGTGACAAGAGACACCAACCCTGATGGTCCCATTGAAATGGAGAACGTTGACACCAGGAATGCTGGGCCCTCTAACAAACCCAACATCAACAGAGAGGTACATTTAGCTTTATACTGAGCATCTTTCTGAATCATTAGCTGTTGCTCCTCTTTTTCTTCAAGCAGATAAATGAATAATAATAATACATTTAATTTATATAGCGCTTCTCATCTGCCAAGACAAATCTCGAAGTGCTTGATGAAAGTATATTATGATGAAAACCTATTGTGAATAAGCACTGCCGAGCGGTTTTCTCAATTTCCTCTAAGGCCAATGTTAATATAATATTTAGGACAAACTTTGGGCTTTAAACTGCCTTTCCTTTTGATTAAAAATCACACTTTTCTGAGATACCTACGACGTCCGCACCTTACATCAAATCTTGAATAGAAACTAGAGACAACAAAGCTGGTTGTATTCAAACTTTGGGCTTTAAACTAACTAAGATTGTTTTTAATGTTGATGTAATGTAACAAAATGATATTGTTAGAACATTCAAATAAAATAAGGGAAGATAACTCGTAAATATTGAATATCACAAAAGATGATAATGCTGACCAATATAAAAAAAAAACTTTTGAACCATTAATAATTATTTCAGGATTTTAAGCTTTCAAAAGATTAAAACATAAACAATGCAGTTATTTCTTACTGGTGATTATGTTAAAGTTTTGTTTGAAGAGGTTTTCGAGTTCCATCGCAAATAAAGCATTACCAACCTCACACAATAACTTCACATTGCATGTTACTTGTTAGCCGCTTTTATCCAAAGCGACTTACATACTCAATACTGTGGACAATCCCCACAGGAGCAATTTGGGATGAAGTGTCTTGCCCAGGAACACAACGACATGCTGACTGCAGTGGGACTCGAACTTGCTATCCCCTGGTTCGAAGATCAGTGCACTAACCCACTGCGCCACACGCCTCCCCGACAGCACAACAGCCTTATGCTGGGAGTAAGATTCAGTTTCGTACTCTGAAAAAAAAAGTGTTTTAACTATATACTGTTAATTGCAAACAGTATAATGCCTTAAAATATGTTTTCATTATCTACGGATTGGAACAGTTTTCCAGAAGCACAATTTGAATGCTGTTTAAACGACATCTGTTTCTGTGTTCATTTTTAGATAAAGGACACAAATCTAGAGGAACCCGATGAACTGTACGATTCCAGCAGTGATATCTCTGGGAGTGGGGATGAGTTTGACAGTGATTCCAGCCTCACAAAAACCCTGGAAAATATATTTTTTTCAATTAATAGTGATAGTACACCACCAGACTCGGGACCACCAGGAGCAGAAGAACCCTGCACAGATGCCATGACAAAAAGTGATGGTGATACTCGCTATCAAACAGGAAGGAAACGGCAGTCTTGTCACCAGATGACATTTGGAGACAGTGGAGAAAAAGAACAATGTTCAAGTCAGGACACGCATGAGAGCATTGTTGTTGCTGCTTCCCAAAAAAAAGACGGTATTAGAGTCTACAACAAGAGACAGTATTGCCTTTATTGTAGTAGGCCTTGTGCGAAAATGGCAAGGCATCTAGAAAAAGTCCATGAAGACAAAGCAGATGTAGCTAAAGCCCTTAGCTTTCCAAAGAGGTCAAAGGAGAGAAGACATCAATTGGATTACATCCGCAACAGAGGCAACTATGCTCACAATGCTGCCGTCATGGAGTCTGGGAATGGGGAACTAGTACCGTTTAAAAGACCGACTCAACAGGCAAAGGGGAATGAGTTTATTCCATGCGAATATTGCCTAGGCCTTTTCAACAGAAAGGTCTTGTGGCGACACATACGCACATGCAAACGCAAACCGGTTGCCCAGAAACCTGGAGAGAATCGCGTCCAGTCAATATGTACATACACAGGGCCTGTGCCTGCACAGGTTCCAGATGCCATAACAGAAAGGGATGGTGATACTCACTATCAAACAGGAAGGAAACGGCAGTCTCCGGCTGATTCATTGAATGTCCCAGCCTGCGATTACACAGTGCCCGACCAGATGACATTTGGAGACAGTGGAGAAAAAGAACAATGTTCAAGTCAGGAGGACACGCATGAGAGCATTGTTGTTGGTGCCTCCCAAAAAAAAAATGGTATTAGAGTCTACAACAAGAGACACTATTGCCTTTATTGTAGTAGACCTTGTGCGAAAATGGCAAGGCATCTAGAAAAAGCCCATGAAGACAAAGCAGATGTAGCTAAAGCCCTTAGCTTTCCAAAGAGGTCAAAGGAGAGAAGACATCAATTGGATTACATCCGCAACAGAGGCAACTATGCTCACAATGCTGTCGTCATGGAGTCTGGGAATGGGGAACTAGTACCGTTTAAAAGACCGACTCAACAGGCAAAGGGGAATGAGTTTATTCCTTGCAAATATTGCCTAGGCCTTTTCAACAGAAAGGTCTTGTGGCGACACATACGCACATGCACACGCAAACCCAAATCGGTTGCCCACAAACCTGGAAAGAATCGCGTCCAGTCAATATGTACATACACAGGGCCTGTGCCTGCACAGATTTCAAAACAATTGTGGGGAGTGATTTGTTCAATGAATGCTGATCCCATCACAAATATCATTAAAAGTGACCATGTCATCACTGATCTTGGGCAGGACTTGTTGAACAAAGGTGGTAATTCCACCAAAAACCAACACAATGTAAGGGAGAAGATGAGAGAATTGGGACGGTTAATTCACAATGGCAGAAAGGTCACCAGTCTAAAAAAACTGGAGGATTTCATTAATCCTAAGAAGTACTTGGAGATGGTCAGAGCTGTTAAAGTCACTTGTGGCTATGATAGTGGAACTGCAACATTTCAGATTCCATCCCTTGCAAACAAACTTGGTCATGCGCTGGTCAAGGTCAGCAAACTGTTGAAAGTTCAGGGGTTAATAACTAACAATCATGAACTTGTGAGAAAGGCCACAGAATTTCAACAAGTTCACAGTGAGAAATGGAACGAGATGATTTCTTCAACGGCTTTAAGGAACATTGCTGAATCGAAATGGCATGTTCCCACTCTTATGCCATTCACTGAGGATGTTCAAAAAATGCATCAGTTTCTCAGTGCGATGCAAGATGAGTGCAGCAGTAAACTATCTGGAACACCTTCTACAAAGTCCTGGACGGAACTGGCAAAGGTGTGTTTAGCACAGATTATCCTCTTCAATCGACGCAGGGAAGGAGAAGTAGCAAGCATGCCGCTGACTGCATTTCTGTCAAGGGACACTTCTGATCCCCACGAGGATGTGGACTGGGCACTCTCTGAAGTGGAAAAAAAACTGTGCAGACATTTCTCAAGGATTGTCATCAGGGGAAAGCGAGGCAGACCAGTTCCAATTCTTCTGACTCCGAAAATGCTGTGCGCATTAGAACTCCTAGTGAAGTATAGAGAGGATTGTGGGGTTCTAAAAGACAATGCATATATGTTTGCAAGACCTACAGCTATGACACATTTCTGTGGTTCAGACTGCATACGTGGCTTTGCAAAAACATGTGGTGCTAAGTGTCCAAAGTCACTGACATCGACCAGACTCAGAAAGCATGCTGCAATCCTTTCCCCCGTGCTGAACATGACGGACACAGAAATGGACCAGCTGGCCAACTTTCTTGGTCACGATATTAGAATTCCTCGTGAATTCTATCGATTACCGGAGAAGACGCTTCAACTTGCCAAGATCAGCAAAATTCTAATGGCACTTGAGCAAGGGAGATTAGCAGAGTTTCATGGAAAGAACTTGGATGAAATCACAATAGGGCCAGATGGTATGTTAGTTGTTCAGTATGTATTTTTTTCAATTATTCTAATTGCTTCACCGTGTTTAACCTGTACTCGTTATATCTCCAACAGAAAGAGTTCTCGGTAGTGATGATGATGAAGAAGAAGAAGGGAACGGGAAAATAGAGGAAGGAAACTATGCTTCTGCCGTTGATGGTTTGTTGTTAGTCATTTAATGTCGAAAAAATAAGTGCTTCAGTTTATAAAATATTCACAAAAATAGTTTAGCAGTTGTTTTATTTTGGATTTGTTGTTCTGTCTTTTTCTCTTGGTCTTGCATAAGCACTTTAGTTTGCTACAATTGCAGTATCGCTAGACAATAGGACCAGTCATGGAAGTGGGAAAAAGTGTTCTTTCTTTTCCAAGTGTGATCAATTTCCTCACCAATATTATTAAGTGCTTTTATTTTTTATAAACCCAACAGAGGAGACTATTCTACCTACTGAGGGGAATACAATCCCACAGAACATGAAGGGACCCAGATTGCCAACAGCAGAGGGACAGGAATCGTCTGAAGTCCATGCTGTAAGACATGCTTCAAAAGGTACATTTTACAATGTTCTTTTAATTATATTATTTTACATTTGGCAGAAATTGGTCGGAAAATATATCAATCTTCCCTTTTGCACTCTTTAAACTGCTGATGCTCTGGACAACAGCTTAAGTGGAAGATATTGATATGCTATAGATCAGGGGTGCTCAATACGTTGATCTCAAAGGTAGTGTGGGTAGATCGCATGGCATTGAAAAAATAGTTAGCCTATCATCCATCCTTACTTTGGCATTTGCCACTTGATTGACGTACAGGTAAGCCAGTCTGAGATCTCATATTTTCTAACACGCAGTTCACCGCGCAAGCTGCAAATCACCGGCGAGCTGATTACCTAGTTAGCCTTCCAATTTATACAATTCTACTAAAGAAAGGGTATAAAATTGACGTAAAGACCAAAGATGTACTGAGTTGTATTGTGCCATACGGGTTCATGCAGTTATGCAAGGTACACCAACATAAGGTATACTCAGTATATATAAATAAATATATGTTTAGCATTTTTTATGTAGGTAGATCATTTTGACTTGGTCATTTTAAAAGGGTTGCACATAACTGGTGCGCAGGTGCGCATTCGCACCTCCGCCAAAAAAAGAGCCCCGGGTCATTTGAAACAAAGCGCATTTGCGTATCAACATTGAGAGAGAGAGAGAGAGAAGGGAAAAGAGAAAATAGAGGAGAGATGAGAGAGAGAAAGATATTTACGAGTTGCATATGAACCATGATATGAACTCAGAGCCGGCCCGTAGCACTGGCTAGATGTTCGCCTAGGGCGCCAGATCTGGGGAGTCGCTGCGCTGGCAGTTCTGGGAGGGAAAAAAACATTTTGACTGTTGGGGCTCATCCTAATTTTCGGCCTTGATGTAACAATATTCATAATTAAGTAAATGTAACACCCTTTTCATCCCGGTTCCACCTTTCATTTGCCCTGTACGATGGGCGCTGTAAGTGATGAAAATGGGGAATGTTGGCTTATCTGGCGCCCGCAGCTCACAGCCAAAATGCGAGTGAGCGAGGGAGAGAGGGAGAGTGCACCGGTACCAGCGCTGTTGTTATTAGAATCTGGTGCTGTGCTTGCTGCTCTAACGGATATAAGAAGAAGATGTTTCGACAATAATGTGGAGGGAGAGTCCTCTCCAGTCAGACTGAGAGGCTGATGAGTTAACTACAGCTCAGTGAGGTAAAGGATTCTGAGTCTAAGTTCAAACGGTTTGGTCACAATTTATGTAAACACATATTTCCAAGGCACTCCTTTATAATTATTGGGATAAACAGGTTTGAAATCATTCCAATGTATACTATAGGACAGTAACCAAAAATATCCTTTAAAACTGGAGATAAAAAAAAAATGCATAAATAAATAAATGTTAAGGTAAAATAAGATATGAATGAACAACACAAATAAAATAAGTTACATTCATTTGTTATTGGCTATGGTAGGTTATTGGTTATGTTCACATACTTATTTGATTACATCCACTTGTCTAAGATGACAACAGAGACTTTCAACCCATAACCAGCTGTTGACTTGTGGATGCAAGCAGCTAATCGCAGACTCAACCAGAGAGAAAGAAGTAGGCCTACATCATCAGCTACCATGTCTGACAGAGAGGAAGATAGTGAGGAGAACAGTCAGGAGGGTAGTGATGACAGCTTGTAGGATTACTGGTCGTGCTAATGTTGTCTTGTGTTCACCTCTGCGTGTGTGTTCTGTGTTCACCTCTGCATGTGTGTTCTGTGTTCACCTCTGCATGTGTGTTCTGTGTTCACCTCTGCATGTGTGTTCTGTGTTCACCTCTGCATGTGTGTTCAGTGTTCACCTCTGCATGTGTGTTCAGTGTTCACCTCTGCATGTGTGTTCTGTGTTCACCTCTGCATGTGTGTTCTGTGTTCACCTCTGCATGTGTGTTCAGTGTTCACCTCTGCATGTGTGTTCAGTGTTCACCTCTGCATGTGTGTTCTGTGTTCACCTCTGCATGTGTGTTCTGTGTTCACCTCTGCATGTGTGTTCTGTGTTCACCTCTGCATGTGTGTTCAGTGTTCACCTCTGCATGTGTGTTCAGTGTTCACCTCTGCATGTGTGTTCTGTGTTCACCTCTGCATGTGTGTTCTGTGTTCACCTCTGCATGTGTGTTCTGTGTTCACCTCTGCATGTGTGTTCTGTGTTCACCTCTGCATGTGTGTTCTGTGTTCACCTCTGCATGTGTGTTCAGTGCCGTGGCAAATAAAGTCAAGACCCCCTCAAAAGTTACGGTTTATTTCATTTTAAGGATGAGCACCAAGCAACATCTCCAGGTGCTCCTTTGAGAACCAGGGCAAACAAGTTATGTGCACCCCTGAGTATAGATACTGTATGTGTGGCTTGAAGTTAGCAGACACACTTTTGTGCAGTAGTTTCAATCACACCCATTTATAACAGGTGCACAAAAAACAGCACATGGCAATGTTATTAACTCAAATACAATTTTTTAATTTTTTATTAGTATTAATAATGTACTCATATAACAGCTCCACATAACTTTTGGAGACTCCAGAGGCCTGTACTACAAAGTATGATTCATATGTTGCAGGTGCGACAAAGTGTAGTTGTACGTTTACAGTCCTGCAGACTGTTTAACTCTGCAGGGGGTTTCAGCTGAAATAATGACATGTGTTAATATAAAGGGAATACCCAATAGTAACTGTTGTCTATACTCATTCCTTGGTAATTAAATAGTGATGAGCATGGCAATTTAGGTCTTCACATAGTCGATAGAGCGATTTTGGCCAGCGTCCCTTCCTGCCTTTGGCTGCAGCAGGTGTGTTGCTTGTAACCTGGATTATATTTGTCAGACTATATTTGTTGAATAATATAGTTTGCTCATCTTGTGAAAATACAGGCCATAGTCTGTGATTGGTCATAAGGGGCACCTATCCAATCAGTGACTGCAACTACCCAATTAAGTGAATGCACAGAGGAATTATAGCTTACACATTGCCTTTTTGTTTAATTGACAAATGTTTTTTCTGCTCACTTACAGGTAAAGCTGCTCAGAAAAGAGTGCCCTGGACAAACACAGAGACCCAGGCAGTTCATAGACACATGAGTCGATTTATTACTTCTTGTCTTGTGCCAGGGAAGAGCGACTGCGAAAAATGTTTAAAGGCAGAACCAATAGCTCTTCAACATCGGGATTGGCAGACCTTAAAGTTTTATGTTCACAACCGTATCACAGCATACAAAAGACAAATTCAGCGAAAATAGGAAGGCTGTATGATGGACTCAATTTTGTCCCGACTTTCCTTTTTGTTAAAAAATAAATGTTGCCAAGATTTGTTTAAAGACTCACACTTTTTATTTGTATACTTGAAATGTGAGATCTAAGGATTATTGTTATTATTATTTCAATATTTTGGGAAGTTTACTGGACCACATTACCAGAAGCAACCCAGGCATGTTGTGAACTCCTCCGCTGTGGATGCAAAAAGGGGTGCAAATGTGTCAAGGCAGCAATTCAGTGCACTGCCCTTTGCCACTGTGGTGGACTGTTTTTTCAGAACTAACTGCATTTAGTTGAAAACCTGTAATATTACATATATATTATGTAACATGTATTACTTCACCAAAATAAATATGTTAATGCTTTTACTGTGCATTTTGTTCCCTCAATACCAGATACATGTAGTTAGCTACATTCTAGCGTGTTGTAAATAGTACCAGTGCATTGCTCATCCTTGAAAGATTAGCCACCAGAATCAAGATCCTAGCCTAGGTGGTCTAGATGCTAAGCTACTGGTAAAAATAATAACCATTGTTCAAATATGCGATGGCCCTATAGCCAAACATCTTCCTTAAGGCATGCTCTAACAGTGTGCCAAAGTTCATGTTTTTATTATAAGCAAAAGAAAAAGTGCATGTTTTTTTCCATCAGATGCTGAAAATAAATGTGTTTATATATAGCTTATGGTTTTGACCTATTTTTTGTTTTCTCTGATGGCTCCTGAAGTATTGAAACTCTGAAGGAAGTAGCTAATATTCTTTGAAGCAACCTGATGTTATATGAGGGTGCCTGACACCATTTTTATTATAGTATACAGAAAGATATCCTTTTGTAAAGCTGGAAAACATGATTTAAAATCCAGATGACTTTGCAGAAAATACTAATAAATTCAAAATCCAAATATATATTCATCCATTTAGGCTGCCAACCTTTGAGTTCAGCTTGGAGTGAGAATGTGTGTCCAGTGTTACAACTTTATTGAACGTGTACAAACTATTTACATAAACAATTGACAAACATAACTTGACAGGGATTAACTCGCTCAGAAGGAGAAAGAGAACACTGTAGACTGTATTATCTCTTCGATTTACACACGGCATCTATTGCACGTCTGTCCGTCCTGGGAGAGGGATCCCTCCTCTGTTGCTCTCCCTGAGGTTTCTCCCATGTTCCCTTTAAACTGTGGGTTTTCTCCGGAAGTGTTTCCTTGTACGATGTGAGGGTCTAAGGATAGAGGGTCTAAGGACAGAGGGTCTAAGGACAGAGGGTGTCGTATTGTCATACTGATATTCTGTACAAACTGTGAAGTCCACTGAGACAAATGTAACATTTGTGATATTGGGCTATATAAATAAACATTGATTGATTGATAGACACTTGTTCTCTTTCAAAGAGGCAAGGGATACAGAAAAAGGAAAGGAATGATGAGAGAAAGGTAAGGCACTCGCAGTTTCCTTGAGCTAAGAGGGGAGAGTTGTGTTTTTCTGTCTCAGCTTTGAGGGGTAACAAGGAGGACCCTGAATGTACAGGTCTCAGTGTAATGACAAAAGTCACTCAAATGCTCACATGTTGATGACATACAGTTTGATTTACTTTAAACGTCGCATTACGTGTCTGGTCCCCCTTTCAAATCAGTGTTTAAAGAGAGAAAACAGGACAGCCTAGTTACAAAAAGGGGTTGTTTGTATCTGTTTTATTTATTATTTGTTTAAGTTTTCTTCTTGAAGTAAAGATACAATGTAAAACACTTAATAACAAAGATATTAAATCAATTAGTTTTTATGTTTTTTAGACCCTGCTGGTTTTATCATGTATGTGTGCTTTGAACCTGTCTCAAGACTTAATGGTGACATTGATTAAAGTTTAAACTGACTGTATCCATGGCAACATTAGACTTGTATTTACATCTCCTGGGGCATTGTGGGAACAGCACTTCCTTAAACTTTGCGTGATTATATTTATCGTCATTGCTCCTCTGTTCAGCACATTGTAAACTGTTATCCAACATACATCCTTTATTGAGCACAATCTGTCTTTTTCATTTACTCTTCATATTTACAATTACAGCACAACAATAATGTAAATCACACAAAATATGAATCACTAATTATAAAAACTTCTTCCAAAACATTTTCATTGTCTGCAGATATCAGATATAACATGATGTGCAAATGACCATGTAAATGCTTTGAATATTTAACTATTTTAGATGCCAGATATATATATAAATATATATATACTGTGTATGTATATACACAGGCACTGAAAAAGTGTGTTCCTCATGATATGTCCCTTTAAGACATTTTTCTTTCAAAATGTGATGGACAAACAACATTTTGTAGCATTTAACTGTAGGACACGGCCGGTATTTTTTTCTGTAATGACCTTAACCCAGAGAATTTGGTTGTAGAGGCTTACAGTTCAATTTCAAAACATTAAAGGTCACCTATCATGCTATTTTTAGGCAATAGCAGGATAGGTATCAGATATATACAAGTATATTAAAAAACATGTCTGTGAAGTGTTTCGTTCAAAATACCAAACAGATCACCCATTCTAGCCTCATACCCCTCTATTTCAACCCTGTTACTAAAGTGCTGATTCTTGGTATAAAGCTTTAAAAACAAAAAGAGGGGGCGGAGCTTATGCCTGCTCATGCGGGAGATTCTACCAGCAGATACTCGTGTTGAAACGCCATATCCTGTTCTAAACCACATCAAGGATTATTTCTGAAACAGTATGGAGCTCAAATGCTTTTTCTCTTGCCGGTTATACCACAAGGTGAGTTCCTTTTTTTATTTCCTGCTTCTTTACACATGTACTCTCTCCAGTACAGGTTGTGTTAGCGATGCTTGCTAATGTAAACAAAGACCATATTACGTCCAAAACAGTCGGGCATTGTTTCTGATAGGCCCGTGGGCGTAAAGCCAGTCCACATTTCCGATATTACATCATATCGACAGCAAATCTGGATCATCTCCGTTGTACCCCCGTTTTTAGGGATTTGCACAAGGAGGAAAAGAGAGAGGGTTGTATTGTCTGAGACTTTGTGATTATTTATGTATAAAAAAACATGCAAAGTGCATTTTGCATGATAGGTCCACTTTACAACTTAAAATGGATCTGAAAACGTAAATATTATATAGAAATGATTATTTATTACACAGTATATGTTATATATTTACTGTTATGATAATTCATATTGACATTATTTGTGAAATTATGAATAAAGAATGCTGGTGTATACAAGTCTGGCCTACATCTTCTGTCAGAACGATTGCAGCAATCCAGGGGGTGTAGATATCCACACTTTAATTGTTCACAGGAGTTATGGTGTTACAGGATGTCCGTTTGTTATGTTGCGGTTATCTAGGAAATATAAATAAACAAAGTAGATCAAATTAGTGAATGACAATATTAATCCTAATAGTTACATTACAATTTCCTGCTAGGAACAACATACACATAAATGCTGGAACAGTCAGCTTCATGGTAAACAATACCAGAAATGCCCGCCAGAGGGCTCACTTGACCGCAACAAGTGCAAGTGTTTTAACACGTGATAATGGCGGCTTACAAGGAGATAAAGTTGTACATGCGGTAATGGCGGCTGACAGAGCCATAAAGTTACACTCCCCCCCTCCCCTGGGGGAGAGACTGAGGGGAACTCACACTTACCTCTTTGGTCCCTGTAGCCCCTCACCTGGGCTCGTCCTCAGCCCGCCTTCATCCACCGCCGCCCCTCAACAACTGAGAACACAGAACACTCAGAGTTGAGGAGTTGGGTTTAGGGCCAGTCACTCTGAGTCCAGGAAGTTCATGGATGTTAAGAGAGCTTGATACAGCCTTGGAGGCGGGGCCGAGTTTATTACATTGATTATTAGGAACAAAAACACCCAGATCTGAGCCCATAGACTTAAGTTTTCCTTAATCTCTGCCTCCAATCTGCTCCGTCACGTCCGGAACTTTCAGAAATGAATAATCTACATAAAGGGCTTTTCAAGTCTTGGTACTGGGTAGTTGATTAGCTTAAAAATTAGAATGGCCACTATAAAAGGCCACTCTGAAACGTGCATTTTTGCTTTATTGGGGGGGTCCGAAAACCAGTCAGTATCTGGTGTGAGTGGTAGGGGTAGGGGTAGGGTTAGGGTTAGGTTAGTGTTGTGAATCGAGTGGCCTGTGTTCATCGTCCATAACATACGCCTGCCCATACCATAACCCCACCACCACCATGGGCCACTCGATTCACAACATTACCCTAACCCTAACCCTACCCCTCACACAAGATACTGACTGGTTTTCGGACCCCCCCAGACCCCCCCAATAAAGCCAAAATGCACGTTTCAGAGTGGCCTTTTATTGTGGCCATTCTAAGGCACACCTGTGCAATAATCATGCTGTCTAATCAGCATCTTGATATGCCACACCTGTGAGGTGGGATGGATTATCTCGGCAAAGGAAAAGTGCTCACTATCACAGATTTTTTCAGATTTGTGAACAATATTTGAGAGAAATGGTTATTTTGTGTATATAGAAAATGTTTTAGATCTTTGAGTTCATCTCATGAAAAATGGGAGCAAAAACAAAAGTGTTGCGTTTATATTTTTGTTCAGTGTACTTTCATAGGGGGAAAGTAGAAGGTCAATGACAGAAATATAGAATATAAAAAATCAAGAATATACTATAAGTGATCTCTACAATAAAACAGTTTAGTGCAGGATGTATTAATAGGTATTAATAGGAGGAGGTGCAAAACAGAAAAACAAATTAACCTTTATTTAAACATTAAATAATACTTTAGATTAAGGTTTTCTTTTAAATAAGAAAAAAACTTTGGGGGTGTCTATCTACAGATAAATATTAAGCCTGACAAAGTACGTCTAATATATTTCTTTCCTGCAATGTTAACTATGTTGAAGCACTTATTTTAACTGATATTATACATATGAATTATACTCTGATGTATGTAGCTAGTATAATAAATTCGATTACAGTTTTGGATAGTCTGGCGTGGTTTCGTTCCATCTCAAACAACTGTTTGACGCTCGGAAATCACAAAGCCCAAAAATGACACTGAGTTGACATGAAACTCAGACTTTTCGGCTTTCACAAACAAATGATTAGCCAGGAGTCTTTGGAGAACAAGGTGAACATGGTTAACATGAGTATTTTCATCTGGAGAAAAGATGAGAATATCATCGAGATACACAAAACAGAAAACATTCAGGAAATCTCTTAACACATCATTAATGAGAGCTTGGAAAACAGCAGGTGCATTACAAAGTCCAAAAGGCATCACCAAATATTCGTAATGTCCTGTAGGTGTATTGAAACTTGTTTTCCACTCATCTCCCTCCCGGATGTGCACAAGGTGATAAGCATTCCTTAAGTCAAGCTTGGTGAATATCTTAGCTCCCTGTAACAGTTCGAATGCCGTAGAGATGAGTGGATGGGGATATCTGTTCTTAACCGTGATCTGATTTAGCGGACTGAAATCAATACAGGGCCTCAATGTCCCGTCCTTTTTCCCCACGAAAAAGAAACCTGCCGCTGCTGGGGATGAAGATGTCCGAATCAAACCAGCTTTGAGTGAAGAATCGATATATTCTTTCATGGCCTCCCTTTCTGGCCCAGAAAGAGAGTACAACCGTCCCTTGGGAATAGTAGAGCCTGACAGAAGGT